ACCTCGCGGGTGACATTACTTATCATAATACCTTGACAAAACAGTATGCAATAACAGGTGTTTATCTCAGCTTTCACTGTACTAAAATGAAACGATGCGACTTATCATCATACATAGCACACCATAATTAGGCACATACCATCTGTACTTTGTTACACTCCCACATTGTTGAGTTTGCTGTCTTGTGTTATTGCTACTTGTACGTAATAGACAATAGTACGATATTTAGTTGCTGCCGTACTTCTCAAATTGCGTAGGTCTAAGAGTATTGGTTCAATATCTGCTAGCACATCTTCGGACTTGCATTTTACTAGAGCAAACTCATCTCTCTTTACGTAACTTCATGTATAATGGTATTTGAGATTGACACTGTTTACTTTTTATCCACACGTGTTTAATTCGATCACGCTTTTCGCCGTTCGATAGTCTCTGTATAAATACTTCCTTTGCGACTCACCACAAATTCTTTACAAAATTGTGCGCTCACAAAATTATAGTGCTGCAATCAGCCGCATTTGTAATCTGAACGGTACTTGTCATCAGTGATCAATCGTTTTATGGCTTGTATATGCCTGATTACAGCCCTCCATTACTATTCGCAGCATAAATTCGGCCACAGACCGTCGACATGTCTACATTCTCCAATTCAACAACTGCAAATACCACAGTTTGCGCGTCTAATTTAGTTCGTTGTGCATTTAAATACAACCTTGTGCACATGCATCTTGTCATATTGATAAAAGTAGTCCATAGTCTGACGTTCCTCTCATATAACGGAAGACCCTACTAGCCATCACATAGTTCTCTCTTGTGTAACAGTTGAATTTCTGTTCAAAGCTCCAACCGCGCTGGCTTATCTGGACGCGTGCATCGGAATTTATATCGCAACGATCCCACATTTGTTACTATCCACATCAGGGTCTAGGCTTACGCACACCGGTTCAACATCCGGGCTTCCAGAAAACGAGAAGTTACCTTGCACTTGTGGCGTAAATACTGGCTTGTATTTCTTTTTAATAAAAACGCGACAAAAATTACACAAATTAGCAGTGCTGTGAAATTGACATCCTACAACATGACTTGTATGACATTTTCACTTCAAGTAAATGCTTCACAGGACCCAGTATTTAACTTTAAACTTACTTCAAAATTAGTAAAAACATTTTAGTGTCGACTTCCAGCAATAAGGAGATCAACCGCGTATTCGGTAACGCACACCTTCTTCTCTCCCGCTTCTGCACCTATAGGTATCCCTCTACTCATTTTTAGCCTCAGTGGACACATTCTATATAAGATTGCAGACAGTTTTAATCATCTGGTTGTGATGGTGTCATACATAGAAAATGAAATCAACTTTATTACAAAATAAACAATGTACGTGTTTTGTGTAAATGACGATAGTCATCGGATAAATTGATGTGCTTGAGTAAACATGAATGCTAACATGCAGAGTACCTATCTGATCATCACACATTAATCGCGTAAATAGGTGACTATCGAGTTTTTGCTACATACAATTGTGTTAGTTGCTAATACAGTTTAAAGCTTTGCATCAAGACGACAGACTAACGGTGGAGGCAATACAATGAATCGAATGTTGTACCGTTCCTTACCTTGTATTACCTTCTGTTGGTCAATTTGCACTTTTCTTCGTGGGCGTCAATTGATGTTGACATTGATCGTGATTATGACAGGTGTGGGGTCGACGGTGTGGGAATGAACATAGACGAGATTTTCGATGGGGTTATGCATTTTACAATAACTTGATACCTGATCTACTCTCTCTCCGACCACTTGAGCCGCCTCTAGATGTTATACAGTTATATCTAAGAGATACCTGCGTTTGATCGCAGGTACAAGCTAATAGGAGAGTTCTTGTTGCGCCTGAGAAGGCAATGCAGTGACGGAACGCTTGTATAGAGATGCGGCCGAGTATCTCTTAAAACTTTGACTTCTGAATTTTAATTTAATTTAGACGGCTGGCGTCATTTGAAGTAGTTGGACCCTTTAAAAGAATCTATCCAAGGAGATATGATACTCCAAATACGCTTATCATGTATGTCGAAATGAACCGCCACGCTCCATCCATATAGTGATACCTTTGACGCATCGTCACATCGTAAAGTCCATAACTTGAGAAAAATGAAGTACAATTTTGGATTGCGAGTGGGTCACTTGATCATGGAAAATCTCTTTGCAAATCATGGGTACTTTGACCACTAGATCGCCGATAATTGAATTGGGGTCGGTGAATTTGGATCATTGAATTGCAGACTTCTGAATCGTGGATCGCAAAGTAGTCCAACCAGATATACAACTCATATCAATATTCAAAACACATCAAATATGAATTGCTTCCGTTCGCTATCCTGATCTAGAAACGCATGCTCGTGTACGCGCACGCGGATCCTTACCATCGCAATTGCATGTACAGTTTTTTCTGTCTTATTAAACTCCGACTTGTTTTGGTCGCATTATACGTTACATAATACAGTGCTATTTTATACGTTACATAATACAGTGCTATATTATACCACGAATTCAACCAACATAGTGTTGCAGTAAGCTGATCTAAAAGGCATTGATTGCCGGTTCAGGTCCCGCCTCCGGTGCATAATAATATCGGGTCTCACAGGGAAAAGAATTGGCTGTTAGGATCCGGCTAGCAGCTGAAAAACCTGCCACGACATCGCAAACCATGGTTGAGGCCGACGGTAGAGTGACACGAATTCAATTAATCACTACATCGCCTGTGGGAGCTAATCTCATTTGTAAATCTGTCAGGTTTTGATCGGATTTTGGATCGTGAACAGCACTAAATTGCCTTGGTCCTGGTCATTTTATCGACTGTACCACACCAACCTGCTAATAAAAAGTCGATTGTTCAATCAATTTACCCTACGATCACGAAATTTGATTCATTTCGGGTCCACTGGCGCCTTTCATATAATGAAACGGTACCTAGCCGAATATCGTATTCCACATTTTCGCATTTGGCTTACCGCAAAATGGCTTGTTTTGATTGAATAGAATCGCTGAAGAATTTCACACCCTCAATAATGTTTACAAAGCCTTACCGACCACGGTGATGCTAGCTAAAAGGCACTACCGATTTCGTTTAGCAGAATAACTAACTCCTTGCATTTGCTCTGATGCACTGAGTGAGGGCCTGGTGGGCGTAGACCAGACTTATGAAGTAAATATGCCGGTCCATGGCCTCAATTCTATGCTTGGTCATGGAGGTTACAGACCAACCGACACTACGTAGGCCGCGAGTTCGGCATGCCCGCAATTTCGATTGCTATTCACATAAATGAAGAGGATATGAACGGCACTATGCGCAAAAACGTTCAATGGCGATCTATTCAGTGGTTTATCTGACAAAGAAGAGGATACACCACGGCTTACTACATCTCAAATGATGCAGCTCAGGCGCCCTTGCTGGAGCGAAAGGAAGGCGAATCACAACCCGCATACCCATATTGTAACGGGGCACCCTGAAGCTTGTACTGGTGACAGTACAAGCTACTTATTCTGATGACAGAATAAGGCGGTGCCTCGTAACTTCACGTACACTCGTACGTGCAGAGGAAGACGGTAAGAAGAAGCGAGTACTTGGTTAAAGTAAAAAGTAGAACTGTATTTATCATAGTTAACGTCAGCAATAAATCACTATTTATCTTCATCTGACTATGTCTAAATACAAATGTGTAAATCAGTTATCTGCTCACCACTCATTGCGTGCGTCTGTCGTGGCGCGTCTTCGTTGGTTGATATAATGGCCTACATCAACCAATTAGGAACTACTCGTAAGTGCTACAGAATATTTGTCCTTACGACAATATTCTGAAAAATATAACTCTTATAGTTATATTCTATTAACAATTTCTTATAAATGGTTATGTAACGATTCACCTTATTACATCACTCCCCCCTTAACCATCGGTCACTTTAGTGACTGATTGACTAAATGGATACTCGTCCCAAATCATTTGGGTTAAGTTTTGCACTTGTTGGTCCGAGTCCACTTTCCAACAGTTCTTCGCATGGATAACAAGTCCATGCGGTGCGCGAGCAAGGCCGCCGAGAGCGCGTCTGCACGTCTCTGTGTGGACGCCGAAGCGAAAACCGCTACAACCGATGTGCCATCGGTTGCCATAGCCTCTCAGTCTGTGTCACCTGGTGATGCAGGCGCTCGTCACGAAGGCACTCATGTCTTCACAAAATGCGAGCTCGGTGTATCATGCTCTCCTGATACGGAATACGGATCCGTATCGACGGCGATCAAATCCAAGCCGCCTGCCAAGCGTGGCATGGATGATGCTATGCGTCGTAGCATCTTTGGTTCATCTGATTCATCAGATGAACCATCGCCGAAGCGAAGGCGCTCGAGGTCGCGAGACTCGGGTGCTAACAGTGGTGTCGGTTCTCCTATGGACACCACTTCGCAACGAGGTGCCAGTCCTTCTGTCAGCACATCGCAGGATGAGCGGGACCGCAATGTCTTGCGTCTCGCTCCCGAGAAGAAGACATGGATGCCTCCTAAATATGTCATGGATCACTTGTTGGCGACGACAAGTGATCGTTATCGAACACGGTTGTTCGATTCGTCAAGGATCCATCACCTTGACCCCAGCGCGAAAAACTAACGCGCTGAAAACGAATTCTTCATCGATGCTTTCTATAGACATCGATGGTACAGTGGGAATCACAAGCGTGATGGTCCCTCACTACTTCAAGCCTGGAACGCCTACATCCATAACCTTGAGGATGTAGGTCGTGACGCTTGGAACGACAAACTTATCAAAGCTCGTGATAAGTTTGAAAAGCGAACCCCGACGGGTGCACGCTGCAAGCTGCATCGTCTGTCGAGGGAGAAAGGATTACCCTGTCTCCCTTGGAGAGACTCGTGCCCATGTTGTGTGAACAACTCTGCACGAGCACCTAAGGAGGCTTACCTCCTTACTAGCCCGTCGTGGCGCGTACGTATCTCTACTGAGATGTACGAAGGGATTGACAACCTGAAATCCCTTTACGACCGTGCCGGGAAGACTTTCTCCGGCGGTCCTTCTGCTGCACAGGATGTGCCGCGTCGTACTGCTCAACCAGACCAAGTACGTCAATCATCAGTTGGGAGCGGGGCTCCCAAGTATCCCAGGACGGGGGATAGCCGCGCCACCGGACGAGATAACTCGTCCGACGTCCGTTCACGTCGCGGTGGTTCAACAGCTGCTCAACCAGATAGCGCTGGCCACCGCGAGAGTCCTCTAATGGAGGTGGAGGAGGAGGAAAGACGCTCTCCACACGATCATGTGGATCGATGTGTTCCCGAGAGCTTCTTTGATCGCGTAACGCAAGGGTTACGCGACGATCTCGAGCATGAGCGGAATAGGCGTCTCCAAATGGCGGACACTGTCTTGAAGCATCGAGCTGAGTCTGCCTTTTCTCAGCTTGAGAACGAGAGAGCTTTTACATCTCTGCGTGACGAGCTAAGGGTAGCTCGTGGAATTGTTGATCGGTCTCGGGATGAGATAACTGCTCTTCAGACCCTGATCGATGCCCACCATCGGGAGCACAAGGCTCTCTGCGAGATGCTTGAGCGCAAGGGCATTCTTCATCGGAAGAAGCAGCGTACTGATGGTACGGCTTAAGACGACCGACGTAAAACGTGGGATGCGTTCGCATCTTACGTGGCAACTCGATCGTGTATGCATTGCCTAGGCAGTGCAATAAACGAAATGGGCCGATGTACTTGGGTAGTAGTTTGCTACTACCCAAGTTAGTCACTACATGTTTGGTAGATTAACCGTAGACAGCAGGACTAAGTCACCTTTACTAAAAAAAAGAGTGTTCGCCCTTCCATTCTTGTCTGCGTTTTGCTTTTGCTTATCCACCGCTTCGGCGATGGAGTCTTGCACAAAACGGACCACCGTTTCACGAGCCAGTATGAACTCATCTGATGACTCGTTAGCTTCAGTGCGCTGTGAGCGCACTGCAGCAACAACAACCTTTTCTTCAGTGAGGGCTTCCGCACTCTCACTGGGATCATCTTCTTCAGTGAGGGCTTCCTCGCCCTCACTGGCATCATCTTCTTCGATATCGATGTTATCGATATCGGCATCAAACGCAATGACCTCTTCGTCAGAGCGTGATGAGCATGGACCAAATCGGTTTTTGCTCGCGCGAGTCCCTCCCCCCCTTAAACCAGAGTTACACTCTAGTAAGGTGGGTACACGCGGATGGCGCAAGCCATTCACGTAAAACGGTGTATGTGCCGTGGACGCATGCACCGAGTTGTTAATGGCAAACTCTACCATTGGCAAAAACCCACTCCAACTCTTAAAGGAGTGTACGTATCCTCGAAGTATCTCTTCGAGGACACGATTGGCACGTTCCGTATGACCATCTGACTCTGGATGATCAGATGTAGACATCTTCAAGCGCGTTCCGAGTGATTTGAACACGGAACGCCAGAAATCAGCAGTGGATCGTGGATCTCTGTCTGATACGAGTTCCCGGGGCAACCCATGAAGTCGGAAGATGGTGTCAATAAAGACACAAGCACAGCCACTTGCCGTGATTGTCTCTGGTACAGCCACAAGATGTACCATTTTGCTGAATCTGTCAACAAATACGAGAATACCCGTATTCCCGCGTGCGTCTTTGGGTAACCCGAAGACGAAATCCATTGAGATGGATTCCCAGCACTCAGCCGGAACCGGTAAAGGCTGTAAAGGTGCACACAGTGAAGGACTTGACTTCACTCGTTGGCAGACTTCGCATGCGCGAACATACTTTCGCACAAACTGATACTGGCGGGGCCAGTAAAAGTCTCGACTCACCGTGAGATATATTTTCTCCCGGACACGATGTCCTCCTATAGAAGCATCGTGATACTCGAACATGATCCGCAAACGCAGATTAGTATCATCTGTAATGACAACACGTGGTGTGTCACCAGAACCGGCTTTATAATACAGTAAACCGTTGCGAGTAGTGTATCGATCTGATGCAGATCGATACGCAGACGACAATCGTTTCAACGATTCTCGAGATGGTTGTGAGAGATGTGTCAACAACTTCACTATCTCACCATCTTGGGCGTATGCCCGCCTCACATCATCATACAACGTTGTAGATGGTACTGAGGACGTCATAACCGCAACAGTGGCTGTCTCACTGTTGGGTTTCGCGACTGGTTCAAAGTCGGGACGACGTGAGAGTGCATCAGCAACGACATTAAGTCGTCCTGGTTTGTACTCGACCGTAAAGTTGTATTCTGCAAAGAATGACAACCACCGCGCCATTCGTTGTGAAAGGTGTGGGCTGTTCACTGCCGTGCGTAATGACGCATGGTCAGTGTAAACAATGAAGGGTCCATCTCCTAATAGATAGACTCTGAACTTCGCGAGTGCATACTTCATGGCAAGGAGTTCCTTGTCATGCACTGGATAGTTCCGCTCAGCTGGTTGCAGATGACGCGACTGATAGCAGACGACGCGTTCAACGCCTTCAAGATCGTACTGCATTAATGCACAGCCGATTGCGAAATCGCTGGCATCACAGACCACATGAAATGGCCTGTCCTGATCGGCTATTGCTAGGACTGGGGATTGTATCAAGCTTTGCTTGATACTATCGAAAGAGCGCTGACATTTAGCGTTCCATAACCACCTCTCGTTCTTTTTTAACAAACGAGAGGGGTGTACAGTCATCTCGGCGTAATTGCGTGAATACTTATGCAAATACGCCGCTAGCCCAAGGAATTTTCGAAGACCTTTGACATCAACCGGCACAGGCCAGTCGGTGATCGCCTTGATCTTTTCGGGATCAGGACGTACACCGTTCTTACCAACGATGCAACCAAGAAGTGGTATTTTGCTTGCTGCAAATATACACTTCTTGAGGATTGCACACAATTGATGCTTTCGCATGATTGTAAGAACCTGTCGGACGTGGTACCTGTGAACCTCAACGTCCGACTTTCCATCCATAGCTCGACTATAGATGAATACGTCATTGAAATAACTCAGCGCGAATTCTCTTATTGGTCTTAACAGATGTGATACACATCTGTTGAACACGGCAGGGGAATTACTAAGCCCTTGTGGCTTTACTAGCCATTCCCAGAGCATGCCGCTAGACGTGCTAACTGCGGTAAAGGGTATATCCCGTTCTCGCATGAGGATTTGATAGAAGCCATCCATCAAATCCATGGACGAAAAGATGGTACTCTTTGACATACCATCAATGATTACGTCCTTCCTAGGTATCGGCGTCTGAGCCGGTACCGTTGCAGCATTCAACTTGTTAAATGCATGCACAACCCGCCACCCTCCTATTGCTTTTCGCACACAGAAGGTCGGAGAGCTATGTGGGGAAGTTGATTCCCTCACATGGCCCGCAGCTAAACGATCGGCAAAGAACTTGTCGATCGCAAGTACTTGTCCACGAGGCAGTGGCCACTGCTTCATGACACAGTACTTCGAGCTTGGTTTAAGCTCGACCTCGTGTCGTATACCTTTATCCTTCGGTAATTCGCACGGAACAGTTTCAGGGAATACATCCTTGAATTCAACCAAATCTTCATAGAGAGGATTTGTCTTGAGCGATTCCCACGATTGGGAGTCATATCGCTCAATTCGTGTCTTTTCATCCAGGACACTCTCGTCCATAGATGAACTACTGAGAACTCTCTCGTTCTCAGTAAACACTGTTGCTGACCTTATGTCGGTTACACACTCGTCGTCAGCGACGAGTATGCAGATCTGCTTGACTTTGCCACTACGCAGATCACGCAAGAACCTTTTATCTTCGAGCGTTGGCAACTGAGTGATCTCCGAAGTCCACTTCGGAGGCGCAATCAGATCAAGTGTATAAGCGCCTACACTTGATCCGTTATTGACTATGACATTCAATGTCTCTGTCATTTCCTGGGGACTTTTTCCCTCAGGCTTCGAAGGACTTATTCCTTCGTCTTCCCGGGGACTTATTTCCGTGGGTTTCGGGGAGCTTATTTCCACCGTATTTGTAATCTTGGGACTTCTTACATTAACTTCCCCTAGCTGTGGTTGCGCAACCACAGCGAAATCCTCTACGAAAGACTCTCCAGTCGATCTAGGATTATCGTTTCGCTTAACCTGAGCGATCGATTGTTTCTCTTCTAGATGTTCCCCGCTAGGGATACATCTTTGTCCCGGTCCACTCGACTTAAATGAGTGGTGGACCTTCGGCGCAGCCTGTGTTTCCTCACAGCCGCCGGAACTTTGCTCCGAAGTGTAACCGTTTGTTACACTAAGGTTTTGTGCAGTCGTACTAACGACCGTACCACAAGTGAGGCCATCGCACTCACTCGTAGTACATCCACACGCTAGTTGACGCTCCAAAACGTTCATCAGATGGCCATCTGATGAACAAGCGGCAGATATCGTTGCTGTTCGATGTTGCCAGTTTACCCGTGGTTCGTACCTTCTGAGCCACGGTATTCCAAGGATGACATCAAATTTTTTATCCAAATCCAATGCGATAAAGTCATCGTCATATTGGGTATCTTCTAGCGTATAGTGGATCTTCACTATACGCTTCATGACGGTTACGGATGCGCCTGTCGCAAGACGTACCGTCATCCTCGTAGGAGGTGTGTCACATTCACTGAACTTAAAGTGACCATCTTCTAGCGATTGGCGTCGCACAAAATTGTTGGATGCCCTACGATCGACTAGAGCTCGAAAGGACAACTTATTTGTCACTTCGAGTTTCAAGGTTATGAGTGAGACCTCATTACCTAGAGCAGCAACGCACAACGTTTGTGTGTTGGGAGCAACCTTCATCGAGAGGCCTCCAAATTCTCTTGACGTTGCTGGACCAGTAGGGTGCTCCGCACCTACTGACCCTGTCCGTTTTTTGACGGTCCATCCCGTTGTTGCGTCTTTGCACCAACAGCGGACCCTCGTCTCTGCCCCTTTCTCATGGGTGGACGGTCACTACGCCCAGTGTCGCGAGACACTGGACGAGGGGCACTACACTCGTAAGCGTAGTGTCCTGTCTTTTGACATCTGTTGCATCTCTGCAACTTCTTGTAGCCTGTAGAGCGAGCCTTCTCGCTCTCTACATTACAGAGTTCCATCGGCTCTGGACCTCCGTTTTCATATCGTCTCGGTTGACGATATGATGTCGAGCTGGCGCGAGCCTGTCTCAGACTGAAGTCTTCCTGCTCCGCAATGGAAATGGCTTGTTCTAGTGAATCTAGTTCAAGCCGGAACAGGTGAGCCTTGAAGGGACCATCTGCAAGACCCTGCATGAACACCGAAACCAACGTGTGTTCATCAACCGGATTGGAACTTATACAACTCGTGAGATGTCGTATATGTTGCGCGTAAGCGTGCACATCACGCTTACCCTGCTTGAGCTTCAAGAGTTCGGTTCGAGCTCTGAACTCAGCTCTAGGCGGTTCAAACGTTTGTCTGAGCCGCGACTTGAAGACTTCCAACGACCCAAACGCATATGGGTCGTGCAACTTGAGCCCCAGTGCCCAAGTCTTGGCACGTCCTGCCAGATTTGACTGGGCAAATGCAACTTTCATATCCCCGTCGTCGATGCGACGCGCCCTTATGGCGTCGTCTAATTCGACGAACCATCTCAAGAGGGAGTCCTCTTCGACCCCCCTATACTTTGAGATGTCAATCTTCAAAGTCTCGGGTCGACGCGAGTGCATTGATCCACCAGCAGCAGCCTGCTGCTGTCTCAACAGTTCAAACTGTTGAGCACCCTGTTCTCTCAACAACTCTGCTTGTTGAGAGCCTTGTTGGTGAAGCAAGGCTACTTTCTCGCGTTCAGCGTCAAGTTCATTTTGAATGAACTTGGCGATAGGAGCATGTTGGGCATCTCTATTGAGAGCCTCTAGCATGACGCTAACAGCATGGATGCCCAGGGTCGAACCCATTTGTTCAACCGCATCCCAATCGACATCGATCAAATAAGAGTAGCCGTCACGCGTAGCGTGAACGCTTTGGTCATCTTCATCATCCAACATATTCATGTTAGATGTGAATGCGGTCCTCGGACGGACTACGAAGTGCTACCAGGTGTAACGGGGCACCCTGAAGCTTGTACTGGTGACAGTACAAGCTACTTATTCTGATGACAGAATAAGGCGGTGCCTCGTAACTTCACGTACTCTCGTACGTGCAGAGGAAGACGGTAAGAAGAAGCGAGTACTTGGTTAAAGTAAAAAGTAGAACTGTATTTATCATAGTTAATGTCTGCAATAAATCACTATTTATCTTCATCTGACTATGTCCAAATACAAATGTGTAAATCAGTTATCTGCTCACCACTCATTGCGTGCGTCTGTCGTGGCGCGTCTTCGTTGGTTGATACAATGGCCTACATCAACCAATTAGGAACTACTCGTAAGTGCTACAGAATATTTGTCCTTACGACAATATTCTGAAAAATATAACTCTTATAGTTATATTCTATTAACAATTTCTTATAAATGGTTATGTAACGATTCACCCCGTTACACATATGCTCTCTCGTTTGCCTCAATTCTCACAATCGGGGTATTTTCAGTGTCGATTTGGTTGTCATGCCCCAGAAGTCTCGGATGGGACGACGCACCAGCTGCTTCGCTATGAACAATGATTTTACTTGACTTCAAGTCTTTTGACTCCGATTCACGTTCTTCGCCTGACCCGCAGCTTTTGCAGGAGACCTTATAAACTGATGCGACCTTACTTAAAGTAGACGATGCGGAGGTGGACGCATTTGAAATTTGAACGCAATTGCACGAACATTTACACCAGCGCAGCCAGCAATTTGACCTTTAAATAGGTCACGATGCATCGCCCGCCATTGCGGCATAATCCACGATCGACCAAATTCAGATTCTAAACCAAATCAGATTCGGGATACTTCTGGTACATCAATGTACTTCCTACTCGGCTACAAATAAAACTGCTTTCTATCGCCCTCGAAATTTTGCTTACGCAGACCTCCTTACTAAAAAAGACATCAAGATGAGGTCACGTATCTAAATAAGGACACATAATTCGCATGATGACGAGCTACGTAAGCTGATCGATACAGTCGAAAGAGTATGGAAGATGTGTCACACATTGATGTCCACCCCTACTTCCATTGCATCTTCGACGGCGACACTGTGCACACGGACTATGCCGGTACCCCCACAATTTCTTTTGCTACAACAGAAACCCACAAGTTTGGGGCGTGTCGTATGTGTTAGGGAGTGTACATGCATACTTGCATAATCTTGTCCATCTCTTGGACGTCTGATCGAGCGAAATATACCGCTCGTGTTCAATTCTCCTTGTCCTTGGGTTCTAACACGCAACTTGAATAACACCACGAAAGTGGTATCGTACCAGAAGTGCTGAACGATAGTGCCACCGTCATCACGAAGTACTTTTGTTTTCATCATGTCCTCCTTGTCATTTTGGTTCTTAACATACCGCGATACGATTGCAATCGATTCACTTCGGTAACACGATCGTAAAACACTAGAAGCTTGAGAAGAACTGGATATGACGTCGTTACCGGATTTAGAACATGCCCGTATCGTACGACAAAAGGTAGGCTCAATTTAGCATGATGCAATTGACCTAAAAATCATCACAACTGGCATGACGCGATTGTACTTGAAAATCATTACAGCTGATTAGCAACTGGGCTTTCGGAGCAGTAAGGTCATACACCTTGGCGATTTACTCTGAAGACTCAATCGCATCCCTGTTTTCACTTCATATCTGTTGCTGCTCGGCATCAAAACTCCAATCATCTCTCCAGAAGAAGGTAGGGTCTTATTTACAAACCGAAAATGCGTGGCTGGGTCACTGTAGCTGGTACTTCACTCTTTCGTTAGTAGCACGCACATAATAGCTGAGCTGGCCAGCATTGTAGACTCATGCTAATTGCGTCTTACGTCAGTCGCGACATGTTAACGTCAACGCTCTTCGCAAGCTTCTATCTGTGACGAGGTCGGGCGAAAACATGCTGAAGGTTATGACGAATGCCATGTATGATGATAGTCACGTACTTCGAACAACAACAAGAAGCTCATGCTTGACGTCGAAAGCAAATTTTGTCTCTTCTATCCAAGCTAACATTTCCGACAGCAGCTGACCTAGTCGTTTGTCTAAGAAATGGTTCAAACTTAGTCAGTTCGCAAGCGTGTACTGATTTTGTCGTTCGGTGGTCTAGTAGAAGTTGGGCTACCTCAATCGTCAACAGTGTTGGCAACAGTTGCCACACTATTATACCCATGCAAAGCTGAACACGATCTGCAAAGGCCTGGCTGGTCACAATAACTCCATTGCTTCAACTTTTATTGCACCGAGTCATTTCTGCCACGCAGCAGCTAGCATGCGATCCCATTCTGTTACCGACTTTCTGTCCAATTTGCTCGCCCATTCACTTCGTCCCTTCATCAATTTCAAGCACATTACAGATTTCTTCAGGCGTGTGGGGCAGTACGACACACTGGCTCCGTTTGACTGACGACCCTGAAAGTGACGTCGACGACGTTGGCTCATCACTGACAGCGTATCCGTTCTTCGCGTCGCGCACGAACTCGTAAATAAGCTTATACTTGCTGGCAAGCGTCGCACGTGTAAGTGCATGAGCCTTGTCGGAGAGCACAGGTTGAGCCAGGCTTTCCAGCTGCGGGAATGTCAATGTCATGAGTACAGCGCAGAAGTCTCGCATCACGCGTGAGATCGTCTCTCCGTCAAGACCGGGTGCATCCGCTGGCAGAATGCCAGTCTTCATCTCTGTGGCTCCACAGCTTTGCTGGAACTCGTGAATGTGCTGAACAAGCGTCGATCCTCGACACCGATCCATCACACTTGAAGCCTGCAGCTCGCTCAAATTACGTAGCCAACCGTCCACATCCTGGCCTGTTTTCAAGTACCATCTCATCACTTCAGGAAACCGCGCCAGCGGGGCCTGCAAACAGCTAAAGTTATTGATCCGGAACACAAGCGCCTCGACTGGATCCAGACTTGCCACGCTGCGCTGACTCACGAGCTCAACTGCTGCCAATACCTTGTCAAATAAAGGTGCCAAATCGGCTTCCTTTTCTTGCTCTGGTAGCAGCGAGGTTTGGAAAACTTCCAATAGTGCCACCAATCGCCGAGAAACATCCAGTACAGCGTGTGACGCTGCGAGGTTGGTACTATAATCCTGTGGCGAGGCTGCAACGCCGTCCACAAGCTGCTGGAACTGACGACGAAACGCTTCATTGGCGACTTCTCGACAGTGTCGAAGAGCACGCGCGACGTCAGCATGTGCTATGAGTTGGTCAAACTTGTAATGGTAAAACGCTAGCAGGTGGACAAGTTTGTAGGCCACTATCATGCCATGCGGAGAGCCGAGTGTCTGCTCAATTCGCACTTGTAGTGGCCTTGACACATCATCAAACGCCCGTCCAACCATCGACGAACAACCGTCTTCAGCAGCCGAGTTGGCATGTTTCTGCGATTTGTCAGTCGTGGACAAATGATGGTCGGGACTTACGCCGTCCACAGCTTCGCTGTGAGCTAATGACAGATCAGTGGCAGCCAAAGGGCTGAAGTCCGTATCATTATCGAAGATCACGCGAAAGAATTCATTCTCCGTCGCAATTGACTGGTGAACCCACGCTAGCATGTCACCACAGTACCGCACCGGATCATGTGCGTGCATCTCAATAGGCCGCGGAATACCATGTGGCCCACCGACAGTTAACGCCGTGATAAAACGGCGCACAAGCAACGAGCGCCGGGACGTCACAAAACTTTCTTTGCAGTAGCTGCGTGCAAGAGAGACAACACAACACAAAGCGTGCACTCAGTAACCAGTACACAACGCAACAACATCAACTCCTCTTTTAAAGTGCAAAGAAGACGGACTTGTAAAATTCTGCACGGTCTCTGAGCAGAGCTATGGCTCGATGCAGCATAGTGCTTGGTTCTCCGTCTACATCAGCACAGGAGTTGACAGTCCACTGGTACAGCCGCTTGAAACCAGCATCTTGGTACTTGCTAATTGCATCCAGCAGCTCGAGTCTGTAGATTGTATAAATTTACACAGAATTAGAACAACTCAAAAACTCGACGTGTCAAACATGACGTTAAACTATCTGACCCGCAATGGATTTTATCCGTTGCCACCAGCTCCTTGCAGTCCGCTTTCACCTGTCGTACTCGCTCCATTGTACTGACAAATGTGTCCATATCGTTATCCGTGAGCTCTTCAGCATATAAAGTGCTAACTTCGTCTTCGGTCAAGTGATACTGATCCAGGAATACTTTAACATGGCGCCATTGCTCGTGCACTTTGTCTCTACATTTTACACGGATATTATCCAGTGGTGTTAGATACTTCTAACTTTAATTTCGATGTCTGGAGAAAAAGGTCTGTTAAAAATAGAACGCACCTGTTTTTTGCAACTACCGTCGCTTCTGACTGCACTTGCTGGGTTTCTTTTTTTGTCATTGCTAAAAAGTCGACAATCCGGGCGCACTTAGCGTCCAGCTCATTTACTTGAGTGGCCAGATTTGAAACGTGTTCTAAAGTGCGTTTATAACCATCGAGCGCCTTCTGCGCGATCGACAGCTGCTCCATTTCGAGACTCGAGCGCAACGTACGCCGTAACGTAGCCAATGAGGACGTCTCAGGGTTCACGGACGTATCCAGCTGCACAAGAGACGTTCCATCATCCTTCACTAGTGTACACAGAAGCGATGTGGTGGCCTTCAGCTCAGTGCGGGAGCCCAGGAGCTTATGCACGCGAGCTTGCAGCGCTGGCGTCGTCATTTGATACGTTGACACGAGGTAAAAGATAATTAATTGGGGGTAAATGGGCAACTTAAGCAGATCCCAATTGACGAGCACCTCGTTTGTTTCGTACTTAGCCAATCGAATCGAATAGAAATGTCAACATTTAGAGACTTTAGAAACTCGTCTGCACTCTGCATCCGCATGCATTGCCAAAGTCCGTCTATTTGTAGAAAGCAATCTGCAAATTCGTTTACAAGCATATCCTGAATCGCTGGCATTCATTTGTAGACAAAAAGCTGCACGTGTCAATCGACAGGGTGAGTCTGCAAGACCTGCGAGCGGTATACGGCGTAACGTGCACATCGGACACCTATAGCAAGTTGTATGCTATTTCGTAGCTAACTTGCGAGAGGAATGTGCAAATTAACCGCCACCTGTAGCGCAAGTCTCGTGAAAAACTGCTCGCGCTGATGCGTATTGCGCCAATGCGTATTCTTTGTACGAAAGCCCGATCGCTTGTTGCGACAAATCGTCAGTCCTGTGTGGAGGTGAAGCTTTACGTTTGTGCTATCATACGACAATATTATACAAAGTGGTACCTGACTCAAAAAAGGGCAGTGCAATGCCATACAGTATGCGCGGTCTCTCTTTTGGGCGCTTAGTTTAAACGTGTACTGAGAAAGATGGGACCTATCAGATCCGAACCACAGCAGTATGACGCACTCTATAATTGGTGTGCGAGCTAACTTGCCATGGCAGAGTTTTTATTATCGTTTTACAGCACAAGCCCTTTGCGCAATACCACGATTGATGCCTGTCGTCCATTAGTTATGGCAGGAAGGTACCAAGAAGAACATGTGCCCTACTTCAAGCGCCTGAACCCCCTCCTCTATTGCGACATCGCTAAGTCCAAAAGTGCCATATCTAGCAGTAGAGGTTGTAAGACCAACCAAAATTCCAGACTTGGCGCCTAGAGGCACGGCAAACGCTCAATCACAATTCATACGACCATCTGTGGTGCAAAGACGACCCCTCACCAGGGCTTTATGCGATAATGAGGGCTAGTAGCCGATGTACCAATTCTTGATATAACCTTGTACAGTACAGCTGATCGTGTGCGGATCGTGTCAACATCGGTTCTAGGAGAGCAACTACAATGCACAGACGCTGCCGATACTCAGCGAGTTGCCGGTCGGCTACTAGAGATGACTATATTTGCAACGTCATTCGGCGTGGCTACCTAAAGATGGCATGTAAAACAAATAACGTGCGTTATCGAGGCGTATGCTGTCAAAAAAGATTCAAAATGTTACCCTCATACCGTGCTCTAAAAGCGATACTGAGAAACCCAGCAAGCTTCTGACCAGTCCGCTGTATGATTGTATGACAACACTCAAGCGCGGAAGATTTAACTGTGGGCTCAATGTACAGAGGACCGTACGGAAAGTCAGCACTTCGTATTCCACAAGGAGGACGACGTCACCGAATTTATGTTTTTGAAGGTCCACTCGGCATCATGTAGTGAAACGCGAAATGAGCTACACGAACTCAAGCTTGTGAAGAAGCGCAGTAGTGTTCCGATCTCTGTGTCGACCAATTGGTCCTGCCTACTTCCGTTGCGATCTTTGCCATGGGCACTTCGAAGCATGAACCTTTTTTATAAATACAGAGTATTCCTTCCTTCACTTGACAAGGTGGAGGCTTCAGAGCAGAAATCGCCAATGTATTCAAAGTCTTTGAAATGAACGGCGCCTGGTCACTGTAATAATTTAAGGTCGACGTAAACGATTGAGCATTATGTTTATCTTGCGCGTTTTTGCTTAGCAAAAAATCGAAAGTCGTGCGAAAATCGCAAATCTTCATTAGCGCATCATCTGACAGCAGAATGGAATGCCTCATAGATATCACGCTCGTCGCATATACTGAAATGTGGACACGACGCAAATCAAACCGCTGTTCGAGATCTCTCTCCTGATTCGTTAAATACAGGATACAGTGGAAAATCGGTCACAGGATTTCACCGACAAACCATCTGGGAGATGCCGTAAAAATCAGTATAATGTGATGAATTCAAACTTGGTTTATTAAATGAAAGCTAATTCTCCATTACTTTTGTTATAAACCGTCGGGATGCAATGGCAGTGTAACGACGTACACATTGTGGGTGCTCTTATCCCGTTATTAGCACTGCAGAAAAAGACGGGCGAAGCCCATAGTGACTCAAGAGGATCGCATTGACGGCGACAGCTGCTCGTCGTAGTGAAGATTTCTGATGACCTGTTCAGAAATAGCAAGATCGCGCTTAACATAGCACAAGAAGCTGCCGAGCAAACCAAGCTGTGCTTACGTGATTGATTACACGGCAACCTTATGACTTTGTTGAAACCGCTACGCAACGTGTGACAAGCCACATCGTTCTACTGTTGACGTGTCTAACAACACGTGACGTAGCAAAGGCAAGTGGCCGCGCGAGAAGGTCGTGCTTTGTTGAACTTGACATTAGCTGAGCTTCACATGACTCTCAAGACAGTTGTTGACGTCTGTTCTATTATCCTGCGCTGCGATAGCACCAAATATACGACCAAGTCGATCTATTTCTGTCGTGTAGAACAGCAAGGCTGCGTCACTGATAAGCTTGATTTAACTCCTACGCGTCGGGTAGCTTTTCGATCGTAGTACTTCGTGTAGCTACGGTCAACCAAACGGCTTGCAATGCGATCGTTCATGATTCATAGTACACGCAGGAAAAGTACAAGCTGTCAAGACGACGTTTGTTACATCAAGTTGTCGTTAGGCAATCAGGCGTGTGGGATGTTCGACACGACTCTCGAGCACCGCCACGAATTGTAGCCATGGATCGCCGACTTTTCAGCCACATTTACACTTTTGATTGGCTGAAACGTTTCGACTTGATCTCGCTATGTCAGCCGTCCACGTGTCGTCCGGCAGGCGTTTCACATTCCGCATTTTGGCGCGTCCAGATCAAGACCATCACTCTTTGTAAAGGCAACGTACCACCAGGAACGACAACTTGAAGGGAAACGGCAACCGCAAAAGGCAAAGTGCAACGTCAACGGCAACCAACGAACGACATGACGACGCAACGCCTGCTGCTGCTCACGCTACTCAGCACCGCGTCCTTCACGTCGCTCCCACTGGTCGACGCGGTCGTAGCCGGCGTCGACTTGGGCAGCGAGTTCTTCAAGGTCGCGCTCGTCAAGCCTGGCACGCCGTTCGAGATCGTGACGAACGTCCATAGCAAGCGCAAGACCGAGACGATGGTCGCGTTCGACGGCGACGAGCGCTTGTACGGCGCCGACGCCGCGACCGTCGGCGTCCGCAAGCCGCAGACCGCATACGCTCAGATCCGTCGTCTCCTCGGCACGAAGCTGAGCGACCCGCAGGTCGTGTCTCTGCTCACGGACGAGCACTTTCCCTACGAGCTCGTATCGAACGCCACGCGGGGCGGGGCGATCGCCCTCAAGCACGCGACTGACGCCACGTTCCACGCCGAAGAGCTCGTGGCCATGGTCCTGACGCACGCGCGTCAGATCACCAACACGTTTGCAGAAGTGCCGGTGAAAGACTACGTGCTGACGGTCCCGACGTTCTTCTCGCAGGCGCAGCGTCAAGCGCTCCTGGACGCGGCCGAGATCGCAGGCGTGCGCGTCTTGTCGCTCGTTAACGACAACACGGCGGCCGCGCTGCAGCTCGCTGTGCACACGAGCTACGACCCGACGGCCGCGCCCAAGCGCGTGTTGTTTTACAACTTGGGCTCCACGGCCTTGCAAGTGAGCATCGCGGCCATGTCGAGTCAAGTGGTGCCCGACGGTTTCAAGAAGAACAAGACGGTCTCGACGTTCGAGACGCTGAGCAACGCGTGGGACGAGTCGCTCGGCGGCTCCAAGTTCGACTTGCGCCTCGCGGAGCACTTGGCGACTGAGTTTAGTCAACAGGTTGGCCAGGACATTCGCACGGTGCCGCGCGCCATGGCCAAGATCCGCGCGCAAGCCAAGAAAACCAAGACCGTGTTGTCGGCGAACGAACAGATCCCCGTCGTCATGCAGAGTCTGCACAACGACGTGGACTTCTTCACGTCCATGACGCGCGCCAAGCTCGAAGAGCTCTCGTCCGACTTGTTTGAACGCACGCTGAAACCTGTTGAACACGCGCTCGAGAAAGCGGGACTGACGGTCGCGGACATTGACGAGATTGAACTCATTGGCGGTGGCGTGCGCATGCCCAAGATCCAGCACCAGCTGTCGCAGTTCTTTGCCGGTAAAGACTTGGGCGTTCATTTGAACGGAGATGAGGCAATGGCGCTAGGGGCGGCTTTCCGTGCGGCAAACTTGAGCAACTCGTTCCGTGTGCGTCACGTTGGCATGGTGGACCTTGCGTCGTATCCCATCGGTGTGCGTCTACTGGACTTGCCGACTGCGGACGATGAGAGCAGCGACGTCAGTTCGGCCAGTGAAACTAAGCCGAAGCCGTGGACGAAACGCGCGTCGCTGTTCCAGGAGACGCATCGTCTAGGAATGCGCAAGTCGGTGTCGTTCACGCACTCGAAGGACATTTCGTGCACGTTTCGCTACGACAAGCCGTCGATGTTGCCTATGGGTGTGAGCGTGCTCATTGGGACTTTTAACGTCACGGGCATTGAGAAGTTTGCTGCGCGGTTTGCAGACAAGGACTTGGGCGAGCCCAAAGTATCGCTGTACTTTGAGCTCGACAGTAATGGAATTGCTCGGATTGTCAAGGCGGAAGCTACACTGGAAGAGGAGATTGAGGTGGAGGTGGTGGTAAAGAAGGAAAAGAAAGAGAAGAAGAGCAGCGAGGCCGACGGGACGGAAGGAAGTAGTGCGGACGGGGACAAGAGTGACACGGAGAAGGAGGAAGAAAAACCGGAGACGCGAATGGAGAAGCAGATGAAGACGCACCGTGGAAAGCTGAATGTGGCGCGTGATTACGAGACACGTGTGCTGGACGAGGATATGAGCGTGCTGCCGATGAGCGAAGCTGTGAAAAAAGCATCGATGCAGATGCTGACAGAGATGGAGAACGCCGACAACAAACGTCATGCTAATTTGGAGGCTAAGAACAGTCTCGAGACGTTTATTTACAAGACGCACGATGCTATCTCTGCTCACGAGGATGAAATGAAGCAGGTGACGGTACCGGAGCAGATTGAGGCGCTGAAGAAGAAGCTGGAGGAAACCGAGGAGTGGCTGTATGACGACGGCGAGAGGGTCGAGGCGGTGGAGTACAAGAAGAAGATGGATGCACTTGACTCCGATCTGAGTGCCATTCTCTTCCGCGTGACTGAGCTCAAGGAGTTGCCGATCGCCATTAATACCGCGCGAGAGTACGCCTTTGGCACGCGCGAGCTGATGAGTGAGTGGACTACGAGCAAGCCACAGGTGACGGAGCAGGAACGCAGTGACGTCCTGGAGAAACTTGATGAACTTGAAACGTGGCTCACGGAGTCGGAGACGTCGCAGAAGGCAACCCCGAAACACGAGAAGCCCGTGATGACGTCTGCTGACGTAGCCAAGAAGGTTCAGGGTGTCAAGAAATTCGTCGCTGTGTTGGCGAAACGGCCGAAGCCAGAGCCAGTGAAATTGGACACCAATGAGACTGGAACGGAGGAGGTGAAGCTTGAGGACGAAGTATCGTCAAAGGATGATGCCGATAGCGAAAAGGTCGAGGAGGGAGAGCCGAAGTCTGGCGACGAGAAGGCGGACGAGGGAGAGCCGAAGCTGGAAGACGCAAAGGACGAACTGTAGAATGGCCCAACGCCCACAGGGCTGTGTTCAAATGAAGCTCTACACACCTTCGTACGTCATTTTATTTGTGTCATGCTCATTTCTGATTGTGGTAGGATGGACGCCCCAGTCTGCACCGTCGACGGTCGTCATGCGGCCGGTGGTACCTTTGCTGCAGGAAGAATTACGCCTCTGCAACATTTGGTCTCTCCAAATGGCATGTTGTGCTCGCTGTACGCACGTTTGGTGACCTCCAACTGCAAACCCACTTCGCAATGGTAGACGTCCATCTTCAATGACAGGCGATAAATATTGTCACGCTTATCGCCGACGTGTAAGTATCTACTGGATGTCTGATCCGTTCTGTAATTGCAGTGTGTGTTCGTCAAATGGAGAGATCGATGGCTTCTTGACGATGATCAAAGTATGGTGCCTGCTTGGGGGCTCATGGATTGATCTCCATCCTTGGTAAGACACCGGTCAGAGCAAATGCCGCACAAACGAATTCTACGACCCCGATCACGCTGCTCCTCGTAGATATTGAATCAGCAACTACTGCTGAACTCGTTTCGGATAGAATACGGATAAACTGACACGGATTTGGCTTCAAAAAGAGTCAAATGCCATCCCCTTTAAGTGGTTGTAGATTGCATACTAGCCAGATTGCGATTGGAGTTCGGCAAAAAGTTATACCGATGCACGATAGACCGCGCACCACATTTGCAGACCTGTAAATAAGTCGTTGCACGTATTATCTGTCCTAACAGAAGGCAAAACTGCCCACATTCGATGTCACTGGGAAAGAAATCGCATAGGTGTCGAGCTTATTTCTGAACTTGTAGTCGATAAAAGATTCTGAATTGGTGGAAGAATCCTATATATGTAGCGGTTAGCGACACGGTTGGCGGTCGTGGTGATACAACGGGAAAGACTTCTCTTCGACCTTGGCGATGCTGGTCTCGTTCGGTCCAATCTGTATATGTAGAACGCTCATGATATCTTGATTATTGTTAGCGTTCAATCCAACTACAATCTCAGGAAGTATTTACATTGAACAATGTTAGTCTGAACCACATACTAGCATCAAATCGAGCTCATTTCAGCTCGAACAAACTAAGTTTTTGCGTCAGGATTTGTGGAGCAGGTCGCAGTGATGCAGCTGCTCGCGTTAGCAAGCCTTGTACAAATGCGGCATTTGCTGCATTGGAAATCTTGTGATAATGCCCTTACGGCATTCAGAGGTACTATTTAGCATTTGAAATGCGAGAGGAGAGATGTACTCATTGAAAAGTGATGATAATCGGACAAGCTAGCGAATGCTTGGGGCTCTTTTATTCCGTGTCCATCGGATAGAATATAAAATCTAGGTTGATGAAGACGGCGTTAATGAGGCGTGCGTGTCGTATCCCAGATAGAAGATTATACATACGATCGCGTACAACGTATTGAGACTGTCTAGGCGATACGATACGAAAAGCTGCCATCTGGAAACGAGAAAAAAACTGACGATCGAGAGAGCAGATTTGATCAAAATTGACGAACTTTGGGCCGTAGCTGAGACAGCGTGAGTTTGGCTATCGTGTTGATGCAAATAATGATCACTCTTTTACATCGATACGAAAACTGAGCGCTGGCTATGTGTAGGTATGGAATGAAAACCATGCAACATGTACGCTTCGATAGAAGTCAGAACCAGTGACTTGTGATGGTAGCGTTTTAACAGCATGGCCTTGATAGTGCTGAAATGGAGAAGGTATGACGAATAGAAAAATTAGCATTCGATGCGCGTGCAGATTTTTGTTATTTGCCGTTCGACTATGGGAGATACATACATAAGAATATATGATCTGCGCCAGCAGCAAGGATCTTGAGATGTCACATAAGATCACCCGTAACAAAGACAATCGCAGTGGAATAAATTGCGATCGCACAATTCAGTACTCGAACACCGACATGGCTGATGTTGCTATCGCCTTCTACCCCCTACGGCTGGGCTTGTCCGTGGATCCAAAAAGTCAGGTAGAACAAGTTTTCGCCATTCGGGACGTTGATGATCTCGTTGAATACTGATTGGCTTTGAAAAATGACCAAGCGATCCGCTTTTGGATCAACCTGCCTCACCGGAGCATCCTCAAGTAGCGCTGTTCGGAGTTGCAAACATGTTCGTTTCGTACCCGATGCCTTCCTCTCATGTAATTGCACGTTGTTGAAAAAGTACGTGCACGTCAACTTAAACCCGTTGTCCTGGTCACCGCCGCCACAATCGAGACGAAGAGGTTGGTGATGTCCGGCTGGTAGCTGGTGAACAGCAGTGCTGTGTACAAATCGCGCACATAGTCGCACCTGGTTCATCCGCTTCTTGTTGATCTCGTAAGGCAAAGCATGCATCTTCTCGATCACCTCGGCCAGCGCTGGGTACTCTACGACGCAGCTTTGATAGTCCACGAAGCGAAGTTTTGCTCCTGGTAGCGTATTCTTACGCCGTCCTCTCTGCTGCTGACACAACACGTGCTTCACGTCAATATGTGGTATCGTAGTCATCAACAGACCATTATTGGCCATTCTTGCCACGTCATTGAGGAGCAACTGCGTCCAGTCTTCGCCCATAAAATCGTCCATAACTGCCGTACCACGTACGTTGTTGTTCTTGTCAAGCAACAATTCGTCCAGAAAGTCGTCATCGAGCTGATCCCAAGTAGCAAAGTCCGAATTCGGATCAGCGAGCAACCTCGCGTCATTTGCCAACCGGACGTGTTTCTGATGATTCACACGATGCACCATTGCCAGAACTTCTCGGCCAAAAGCTTCTTGCAGCACTTGTGGCATGAGCATACGTTCTGTCGTCATATCCATGACATCGCCTTGTTCTGCCCCTCGTTGCTTGACATTTGTCAACACACTTGCTGCTTTCGCTTGCACTTTTGGCATCAGAGCCAAGAGCTCCTGTTCGTACCACGGGTCTTCCAACAGCGTTTGGAGATTTCTTGGCGCATGCTTTAATTGGTCCGATGGAATACCCGGGTAAATCAGTTGCTGGAATTCATGCTCATTCAGTAATTTGGCAAACACGCCGTCATCTAGAACCACACGCTCGCCTTGACGATTTACTCCTTGTTTGTTACACCCACTCAGTAACTTTCGTAACATCAGTTGCCACGACCGCTGCGTCGTCTTTTCTGTCCGGCTCGGATCGTTCTTTTTTTCCATATGGATCTCCGACACGTTCTTCGGCTGTTCGAAGATTCCCTTGTGTTCGGCATAAAGACGCTGTTTTAGGTCCCTCATTCGTTTCGTGATGTGATTTTTCGATACTGAAGTCAAGTGTGTTGGATCGAAATACAACAACGTTTGAAAAGCGTCAATAGCGTCGCCTGGACGCTGTAATGCTTCGCAGGCCGCCGCTTTTCTCAGATACCCTTTCGGCCACCCCGGAGAAATAGCGATGGCCTGTTCAGCGTCTGCAAGTGCGTTTTGGAGCTCGTTTAGATGGTAGCACGCTGCTGATCGATTCCCATAGAGGAAGTGATTGCGAGGTTGCAATGCAAGAGCTTGGGAATACAGGGCTTTTGCTTGGTCAAAGTGTTGACGCTTGAATGCGTCGTTACCTTCTTGACGAAGGGATTCCGCTCGATGATCGACGGAGGCGGAGCTAGTCGAGCCAGCAGAGCAGGTGACATCAGGGCTCATGACTATTGAGAGGTAGTGAACAATGATGATGTACGATTGGATGAAACGAACGGTCGGGACGAGAAGGAGAGGGATCTTGTCGCACGTGACGATCGAACTAGTCGATTTTCCGTAGACGACGGGACAAGATCGAGACCCGCACTACCAAGAATTTAAAAGCGCAAACAGCTTCTGCGACAACAACTTCCGCGCAGGAGAATACGTACCGATATGAAGTGGTTGTAGCAATCAACATTTCTAAATTCGAAAAGAGATCTAGCTACGATTGTGTCTGGTACATTCGCACATTCGACAGCAACGCATTCGACGCTGCATCACCTTCCTCCGCAATATCCTACACCCCTAACGCTTTTTTTGTATCCGACTGGCCCATTCCATCACCTACACCTACCTTGTCACCACGCTTGCTGCGAGTTCGCAATGCGGCCGAGCGATCAGCGGACGTGGCCATTGGCTGGAATATAACCCAATCACAGCTTGACACGGTCGTGACACGCAAGACAAAGCGTAACAGCAGTCGCAACAAGCGCCCTCTCGCTCTCGTTCCTGTGACATCGTTTTTGTTTTGCTTGCGCCCGTGTGTCGCTTCTTCTTCAACCCTACCCCCAGACTCACATGTGCTCGCGATGGCACTCCATGCACAAGAACAGCACGTCGGACTTTTTGCCAAATTCGCACGGGAAGCCCAGGCGACCGCTCTGAAGCCACTGAGTGGTCAAAAAGAGTTTAAACTGCTGCAACGCGTCCTGGAAGAAGCCAATCACATCTGCACACACGTTGCCAGACGGCGCTGTCAGTTTCCACGTCTCTAAGAACGCCGCGAGTTCGCCCACGGTCGCGTCGCGGAGGTCGTCGTCGCAGACAAAAGCCGCGACGTTATGCGCGATCGCTGCGACAAGTGGCCAGGACAGCTGGCCAAGGCGGGCCTTGACAATGTGATGCATGTGTCGCATAGCAAAAGGAAACGACTGCAACAAATGGCGCAGCTCGGCAAAGCTCAACGAGACGACGTAGTGGCAGCACTGTGCCATGTCTTGGAGGTACTCGAGCACAAATGCAACCATCTTAGCAGCAGATACGTCACCGTTGCCGTTCTCGTTGCCGTTGCCGTTCTCGTTTCCGTTGCCGTTCTCGTTGTCGTTTCCGTTGCCGTTCTCGTTGCCGTTTCCGTTTCCGTTGCAGTTCTCGTTGCAGTTCTCGTTGCCGTTCCCGTTCCCGTTGCAGTTGTCGTTGCAGTTGTTGTCGATCGTGACGAGCGAGTGACGACTGCAATAGTCTGTGGCAGTCGAACATGTGGACAGCATGTGTGGCTCGTATGCAACGAGGGACGCGAGAAACGCTCGTGGTGGTCGAATGGGCGTCTTGTTCTTTTTTCTCGTGCAGTCCCACACGACCGCGTTGCTGTTGGTGCTCGTGGGCACGTCGCTCTTGATCGCGCAGTGTGAGCGCGTGCGCTTGAGCGAGTGCGGTGGTGACATGGTTTGACTTGTTAGGTGAGTGCGCTCTCGGAGTGATGGTCGCGTGAAACCGCCAGCACGTTGACAAGTGCCACAATCGGAATGTGGATACACAGACAGAGAATGATTTGTGGGTAGGCGTGGGTGGACCACACGCCCGCGCTCGGTCTGGCGGCGCAATGCTTCAGTTTCGTCGACCACCTCTCGGTCGGGATTTGCATCCCTTTCTGCACCAGGAGTGGGATACTTGCCATCAATCGTCGATGCGAGAACGGGGCAGGGGAAACCTTTCCACTCTGGGCCATCCTTGACCTGCGCTCTTGTTCGTGTCACGGACAGTCGGGGGCGGACAAGGGACACTGCTATTTCGAGCGGGTGATACGAGACGGGACTGTCTTTGCTGCTGCGACCGACTCGCAGTCCGCTCAACAGACGGTCGGGCGCAGAAGCGATTCTGCAATGACAGTGTCCGTCCAAGTTGAAGTTGGACCAAACTTCAAGTGCAGAAAGCGCGGCGCTTGATCTACTTTTGACCGCAGCGTGTACACTCTTGCGACATTACTGGAGCAGACACCACTAGCTCCCTTGCAATGAACACGAAGATCTGGTGTCTGCTTCGGTGTCAAGAGATCCAATTAGCGCTTTGCGTCGAGCCGCACTGCGCTCGTTTTGGCATCTTGCTCCTAACTACAGTCTCGAGTCCATGTCGATATCATTTTTTACTAGCAATATCAAGTTTAGATGTACACCGAACCGCACTGTAGATAAGAGGCCACTAGGCGAAGAGTAAATGCATGTAACGAGTCTAACGAATGTATCGCATGTGTCAACGCGCAAATATGGTCGGTTGCTTCTTTTCAGTATGACGCCGCGGCGTGATCAGTCATGCTAGAATACAATACAATCTCGTTTCGAGATGCAACATGGTGAGGTTACCGACGTGAGACATCTCCAACCGCAAAATCACATTCAGTTGACTGATGCAGTGCGTCTAGATTGCAGAACATGCTGGTCTCGGTAGTCCATCAAGTAGATCCCTCCCTTCATATACGAAATGGAACTCGACAATGCAACTACAGCCTGGAAACCCGCCTCTTTTGGAGCCGCGTATTTGCTTCAGCTTTATAAAACAGCCCTGATTCCTGAGATTCGAATTATCAGCCAGTAATTCGATATTTTAGACGCCTCCTCGATCACATCTCTCGGGTTCTTTCTTACATGTCCAACCCATCACCCTCTTTGCCTACCCCTGTAATATTGTCGACAATCAAAGGGGGTAGAGGACAGCTCGAAACGTGCTACAATCGGGGAGATGGACCCTTTCAAGAAGCGATTGCCACACAATCGTGCTGCCACACTGTTACCGATTCGATCGACCACCCCGTGGTCCTTGAAGCTCGTTCACTATGTTTGCCTTCCGCGAGGCCACGCAGATTACGCAAAAAACCATTCGGATGGCTGCGGGGAGAGCGTGGAAGCGAGGGCACCAATTTTTTGATCAGAAAGGCGTCTGCCCACTTCAGATTTTGACAGCTGTGCTTCACACAAGGTACGAAGCAGGTGCTGGATGCAAGTCACCAATAGCGTCGGAAAGGACGGCTTAGAACCATTGGTTAATCGTCAGGATAACCCGAAGCGACAGCGTCATTCTATAAGCGCGGGACGTGTCCTTTAAACAATTCATTGGGTACTGAGGCATGTCCCGATACTACACCGCTTAGCTATATCCAATGTTAGGTACCCAGATGAGAGAGGCACTCTACAGCTTTACGAACCGAACCACCGACCATTAGTATTTTGATCCATTAATCTACCGGTCCCGATGTCAGTGCTTATTCACTCGGCCACCGGGGTCGTCGGTGCTCAGCTCAGGCAACTCGGGCTGTTGGTGCCGCAGAGCATACGCAAAAACGAGATAACTTTTGACTACACGATAAAATTCATTAAGGAAAGGTGCACGTGTGCGTATTATTGCACAAGCTCATTTCTTAAATTTCGGTAATTATGCATCCTGTTTTGGGCGAAAGTGTGAACTATTCAAACAGAGGCAGCTTATACGATGTAACCGCGTGATGGTATGCTATCGAATCTCATCTGTTGCAAATTATCTTTCGAATTGAGAAATGTCCTGCTGACAAAGCAGCCGCATGTATCTGGTGAAACCGGAACCGCCTTTATGAATTATCCAAGACGCCCTTTACGGCTAAAATGAAGACAATTTTTAAGTAGTATTATTGATATATCGGTTTTGCTCGCGTGGTGAGTAAATAATGTAAAGACAAATGTAAACCAAAAATCACGTATATTGTATGTTAGGGTGCAAATTCGGCTTCAAAGAAAGGCTGTGAATTAATGGAACAGGGGTGTAAATACATCAACTCCATTCAATAAATACGAACAGAAAACAGGTTCTTGTAGTGACATTGCAATTAAAATTCATACATCCAAGCGTCCGTACCTTCAAAATGCTTTTAAGATCTTCTGATGCGATTAATATGTGTGTGCTTAAGGTGACGGTATTATCGATATTTTCAGCAGCTTGCATGATAAAAGTACGTGTGAGCTTCGTCTGAACGCAGTTTACGACAACATTCTATATGGTTCCAATATTTACTCTACATTTGACTTCGTAGCCTTACGCTGATGCACAGATAAGGAGGTACTTCGACTGCTACTTCACGCGACGAGAAAGGCTTAACAGCCACTGGTGCCAGCAGCACAGTGTAGTGGCCTCTTCGCGTCAGATGGGTCATGTGACACATGTTAGGGATAAGGATCTATATGCATGAAGAAATCCTTTTTGATTTAGAGTAGGATGTGGTGCCTGCAAAAGAAGGATGCGGCATGTAACGATATGCCCATAACGTATCTCTGCATAATACGGACTAGTAAAGGACATGGAATTTTATAACATGATCAATTAAGCTTTATAAATTAGTGCATTGCATGGCTCCTTTCATAATTCTCTGCCATTGTGTCATATGCCTTGCGAGAGTCGCGCAACGGAGTAGATCGGCTAAAGATTAAGGGTAAAAAACCGGCCTTGTGCACGATGAGGCACTTAAAATTAGCATCATCTTCCTCATCCTAGGTGTAACGGGCACCCTTTGTTTGGGGTGACACGAAACTTCAAGTACACTAGTACGTGCAGCGGGAAGCTCTTTACTCAAACTGCTAGTTTGAGTAAAAGAGTAAAAAGGGATCTGTATTTAATATAGCCAAGCTATCAAGACTAATTTAGTCTTTATCCAAATATGTATATCTACATTGTCGTGTGATGACAGTCTGCTCACCACTCATTACGCGCGTCTAGCAGCGATTGGTGGTAATCTTAATACTATGTATTTGTTATTCAATCTTCGAGAAGTGCATGAATATTATCCTAACAGGGGACAGTTTCCTTCAATATTGTCCATCTCGGATGATATTGGTAGAATATTGTCATGCTAGACAGTATCCCTATTGACACCGTTTGGTGTCAATATCATATAACGGGATACCCGTTACATCGCCACCCTTAAAGATCAATCATCCGTTGTTTGAATGGAATTGATTTGGACAGGGTCACTACCGTTGGATCACTCTGGGAAAAGAGCACTTGTTGGTTAAATTTAAACAAATTTCTTAATTTATTGCCTGGTGTCAAAGTCCATGATGTGCTGCCGAAGCAGCAAGAAAGGCAGTTGCACGCATGCGTGCAGCCGAAGAGGGTGCTTCTCTTGCTTCAGCAACAGGCGGTGTTTGTTGTGAACAGTCCACGTGGTGAGATACCACGTACAACATATACATCCGCTGCGTCTGCAGCGGGTACTGTGAATCGCAATGTAGATGAGCCTGTAATAGAGATCATTTATTCTGTCGAGTCGGATGCATCATCCGACTCGAAGGCGACACCTCACGCCTCCGGATCATCCGGGGCGGACACTTCAAGAGCCAGTTTGACTGGCTCTGGTGAACATGGTGGCATCATGCTCGAGATCTTCGGATCGAGCGATTGTTCCGACGAATTCTCGCCTCACGCAAGTCCATCGACGATAGGACGCGTAGTGATGGTGGTGATGCCCCTATGCATCACCACGAGAGAAGCAACTCAAGAAATTGACCTGCCACTGGTGTCAGTGCTCATGCTGACACCAATCAAAGATCAGGGACAGAAATGCCCTGCGCCACGCTCCTCAAGTGGAAACTCCTTGTATTCCTTCATACAAAGAGTTAGATCGAGTGGCCGACATGACCACCGAACGGGATCGAATCAAGTTGTTTGACTGTAGGAGGACTATTCCTCCTAATTTCAGCACGGAAACTATCCGTGCTGAGGAAAAGTTTTTCACCGATGCAAATTTCAAACATCGGTGGTACAATGGCAGACGTGGTCGAGACGGTAAGGCCTTAATGCAAGGACGGGATGCCTTTATCAGCAACATCGAGTGAATTGGCCGTGAGGCCTGGCTTGGTATACTTGATGCAGCTCGCATCAGGCGTGAGAGGCTTAACCCAGTCGGGGTACGATACAAGTTGCACCTACTGTCAAGATAGGCAGGATTGCCCTGTCTCTCATGAGGTGATTCGTGTACAAGTTGCCTGGACAACTCGAACTGTTCCCCTAGGGAGGCCTTCCTTCCTAATGATTCCTACTGGAGAGCGCGCATCTCTTCTGAGATGGCCGAAAGGGTTGACACCTTTCAATCCCTGTACTCGCGTTCGGGGAGGTCGATTTCCGACGGCCCTTCTTCGAACGCAGCGGGTTGGTCTCGTCGTACTGCTCGACGAGACCAAGGACATAAACGATCAGCTGGGCACGAGGCTTTAATCTGTCCCACGCCGGTAAATAGCTACGCCAGCGGACGAGGCAACTCGTCCGAACGCCACTCAAGTCGCGTTGGCTCAGGATACGCACCACCAGAAAGCGTTAGTAACCGCCAAAATCCATTAAAGGATGTGGTGGTGGCGAAAACACCTGATCCGGCTCGAGAATCGGATCAGCTTGATGTTCAGGAACTGAACCGTGTAACGGAACAGCTACAAGGTGACTTGAATATGAACGGACTCGTTGTTACGAGATCCATGAACTTGTAAAGTATAATTACAATTCCTTTTCGCACGATCGTTCGGATGATCGTGCCGTGTTTGCGTTTGCGCAACTTGAGAAAGAACGTTCGACTCGTTCTCTGCGTGACGATCTGGTTGCAGCTCGCCGAGACATCGCTTAACTGCGTGAGAAGGTCGCTTCGATATTCAAACAGACTGGATCGTTGAAACGGGACCACTCGAAGGTCGTCTTGGCCTTTGACCGCGGAGTTGTTCT